TTCGCGACACGTCCGCGGACAAGCTCTCCCGTCGCGCTGTCCCCTGTGTCTTCCTTGGCTTTGTCCCGGACGCGCCTGGCTGGCAGTTTTACCACGTCACCTCGCGCCGGGTTCTGCCCTCTCAGGACGTCACTTTTGACGAGTCCGTCCCCTTCTACCGCCTCTTCCCCTACCGCACTGCCCCGCTCCCCCCCCCGCCTCTCTTCCTCGCGCCAGGTGCTGCTGTGGTAGACCCCCTCCCCCCTCAGGGTGCCGCTCCCTCAGGTGTGTCCCAGGTAGACCCAGTTGAGCCTGTCGAGGTAGCTGTCGAGTCTCGTCCTGCTAGGGGTGCTGAGCCTGCGCGTGAGGAGCCTGGCGGTGCTGAGCCTGGGGGTGCGGAGCCTGGAGGTGCGGAGCCTGGAGGTGCGGAGCCTGGGGGTGCTGAGCCTGGGGGTGCTGAGTCTGGAGGTGCTGAGCCTGGGGGTGCTGAGTCTGGGGGTGCTGAGTCTGGAGGTGCTGAGCCTGAGAGTGCTACACCTGGAGGAGCCCTCTCCTCCCAGCAGCTGCAGGAGAGGTACCTACAGTACTGCCGCCTCCGGAGAGGTGCTGCTGGAGCTGGTACCAGTACTTCCCCTCCTACCCGGGAGCTCCCCTCCCTTCAGCAGATTCGAGAGTGGTACATGCGGCGTTGCAGTCTTCGGAGTGGAGCTCCTGGTGCTGCGGACCCGGACGGTGGAGCTGCTGCTGGTGCTGAGGACCCGGACGGTGGAGCTGCTGCTGGTGCTGAGGACCCGAGCGGTGGAGCTGCTGCTGGTACTGAGGACCCGGTCGGTGGAGCTGCTGCTGGTGCTGAGGACCCGAGCGGTGGAGCTACTGCTGGTGCTGAGGACCCGGTCGGTGGAGCTGCTGCTGGTGCTGAGGACCCGAGCGGTGGAGCTGCTGCTGGTGCTGAGGACCCGAGCGGTGGAGCTGCTGCTGGTGCTGAGGACCCGGTCGGTGGAGCTGCTGCTGGTGCTGAGGACCCGAGCGGTGGAGCTGCTGCTGGTGCTGAGGACCCGAGCGGTGGAGCTGCTGCTGGTACTGAGGACCCTGGCACTGGTGTCTCTGCTGGTTCTGGAGACACTACGCGGCCGCGACCGTACTTCGTACCTCTCCTTCAGCAGGTTCTTGGTCAGGCTCCTCCTCCTTGTCCTCCTCCCTCCGTAGAGTGTCCGCCACCTGTCCAGTCGCAGTCCCAGTTACCGCCTGCCTCGCCTCTCCCTGGTCCCTCTCCCTACACTGGTCCCACAGGAGGTCTTACAGAGCGTCGTGAGCCTGCGTCTCGTCCCGCGTCGCCTGTACGCACTGCTCGCACTGGTCGTCGTGTCCCACGTGAGCGTCCTCCTCCTGTCCCTGGCACTCACTACATGACTCTGCGTCCCTCCACTGCTCCTCAGCGTGTCCCTCTGCCGTCTCCTCCTGCGTCCTCTCTGCCTACTCTTCCTGACCCGGAGTCTGACGCCCGTCGTGCTGCCAGTCCCACTGTCACGCGTCTCCTCGCCACTATTGTCACTGACCCTACCTTTGAGTCCTCTGCTGCGTCTGCTCTGGTCGCTGAGTTGGTTGACTTTGCTGCCCGCTGTCGTCTAGACTACGCCGCTAGCCTTGTTGCTGAGTCTGAGTCTGTCTGTCCTCCGTCCGTCGGGGGTGAGTGTGCTCTTGGCACGGACGTCCTTGAGGACAGACAGGAGGAGTTCCAGTGCTTTGCTACTGCTTTGCCCCATCTCGTGTCCATGCTAGTTGCCCCTGAGGGAGACCCAGATGCTCCTGACATCCCGACCCCGCGCTCTTACGCTGAGGCGATGGCGGGTCCTTACTCCTCTCAGTGGCAGACAGCCATGGACGTAGAGATGGCTTCCTGGAAGTCCACAGGCACCTACGTCGACGAGGTTCCCCCACCTGGGGCGAACATCGTCAGTGGCATGTGGATCTTCAGGGTGAAGCGGCCGTCGGGTTCTCCTCCTGTCTTCAAGGCGCGCTACGTTGCTCGAGGCTTCAGTCAGCAAGAGGGAGTAGACTTCTTCCAGACCTTCTCCCCCACCCCGAAGATGACTACTCTTCGGGTGCTGCTGCACATAGCCGCTCAGCGCGACTACGAGCTTCACTCACTTGACTTCAGCACTGCTTTCTTGCAGGGCAGCCTGCACGAGGAGATCTGGCTGCGCCGCCCTCCTGGCTTCACTGGGTCGTTTCCTCCTGGTACCCAGTGGAGGCTCCAGCGGCCGGTCTACGGTCTCCGCCAAGCGCCGCGTGAGTGGCACGACACACTGAGGACGACACTTGCAGCTCTTGGGTTCGCTCCCTCTACTGCTGACCCGTCGCTGTTTCTACGCACCGACACCTCGCTGCCGCCGTTCTACATCCTCGTGTACGTCGACAACTTGGTCTTTGCCACTGCTGACACTGCGGCACTCGCCCACGTGAAGTCGGAGCTGCAGAAGAGACACACATGCACAGACCTGGGTGAACTGACAAGCTATCTTGGCTTGCGGATCACCCGGGACAGAGCACGGCGCACCATCACCTTGACTCAGTCACACATGGTGCAGCAGGTCCTCCAGCGCTTCCGCTTCACGTACTCCTCGCCTCAGTCCACTCCTCTGCCTACTGGTCACTCGCTCTCAGCTCTGCCTTCGGATGAGTCCGTAGAGCCGAGTGGCCCGTATCCAGAGCTTGTGGGCTGTCTCATGTACCTGATGACCTGCACTCGACCTGACCTTGCATACCCTCTTAGCATCCTTGCACGCTATGTCGCTCCTGGCCGTCACAGGAAGGAGCACATGGATGCTGCTAAGAGGGTGTTGCGCTACTTGTGCAGTACGTCGGGCATGGGGCTAGTGCTTGGAGGGCGAGACCGAGTTGTACTCACTGGACACTCAGACGCTTCTTGGGCGGACGACCAGGCTACTCAGCGGTCGTCTCAGGGTTACACCTTCAGCCTTGGCTCTGGCTCAGTTTCTTGGCGTTCTACACGCTCTTCTTCTGTTCTCAGCTCCAGTTGTGAGGCTGAGATCTACGCCACAGCCATGGCGGCCCAGGAGCTACGCTGGCTCACCTACCTGCTGACCGACTTGGGAGAGCGGCCTCGTTCTCCTCCAGTGCTGTACGTCGACAACAAGGCTGCCATTGCCTTGTGTGAGGAGCACAGACTGGAGCACAGAACGAAGCACATCGCCCTGCGGTACTTCCTTGCTCGAGAGCTACAGCAGCGTGGTCAGCTTCGTCTGCGTTACGTGGCCACTGAGGCCAACACTGCTGATGTGTTCACCAAGGCGCTTAAGCCTTGTGACCATCAGCGCTTCTGTACTCTTCTAGGCCTTGTGCCTACTGGACCTCACTTGCTTACCTCTTGACTTTGCTTGTACTGTGATCTCTATATATATACCTGCATGCTTACACCTGCTAGGTTGTGTTCACTGTATCTCTTGCTGTATTATCAATCTGCATGTAAACTGGTCTTGTGACCACTTGCTTGTGCTCGGAATTTGTGTGGTATCCTTGAGATCCACCCTGAGCTTGTGTTGCTTTGCTTTGACTGGGTTTGTGACCCCTTGCTCTCCCCAATTCGCTTGTGGGGGTGTGTCAAACATTATATGTTATATTTGTGTAGGCTGTAGTGGGTTAGCCTATAGGGGGGTCACAACTCTAGGGTTTCCTATTTGTACTCTCATTTCCTTCTAGTCCAACAACACTTGTTCATTCTAACACTTCAGCCTTGTGACCATCAGCGCTTTTGTACTCTTCTAGGCCTTGTGCCTGCTGGACCTCACTTGCTTACTTCTTGACTCTGTTTGTACTGTGATCTCTATATATATACCTGCATGTTTACACTTGCTAGGTTGCGATCACTGTATCTCTTGCTATATTATCAAACTGCATGTGAACTGGTCTTGTGTCCTTCTACACGGCTGGTGCGGTGACATGCGTGCTATGTGATGAGTGCACGCAGACGGATTTTCTCCTTGTACTCTATCTCTCTGGGTTCTGGGTGGACCTCTAGTATGCGTGCCCAAGCTTGAGCTGGGCAGGGGAGTGTCGAAGAGAAAAGGCCCCGCCCTCGCTTGGGCGAAGTCGACCAGGAATTTTGGAACAGAACGCTGTTCGTTTCGTGGTCATCGGCGACTTCGGGGACTTTTATCTGCGTGCGACGAGTCGTTTGTCGACGAGATTATTTGGTCGAGGTAGAAGTGTTTCCTCTGCTCGATCAAGGTCCTCGTCTATGAAGAGCTCATCGACGGGAGTAAAACGGTGTCGAAGACGAGCCTTTCTGATGGACGGAATTGGCAGAATTGGTGTTCGACGGATTGGTGCTCGACAGAATTGAGTTCGACAAGTGTTTCGTCGAGCAGAGCGATTCTGGTCGACCAGAATTACTTAGATCCGAAATTCGCAATGTGGGCGAATTTCGCCCAATCACGGAACAGAAAAATTTTGACCAATCAGGTAATTTCGGAATGTACTCCCCAGGAGAATTCGATTCAGTAAGGAAACAGAACCTGAAACACGTTTTTACTAACAGTAAAAACGTGCACAACTATGAACGTTGTAAACCTGAGAAACTACCAACTCAGGTGAAATCTGCATGCGTTTGTCGTTTCACCTGCCGTTGCTGACTCGACAGATTCAGGTGCTTGTCGAGGAACGTTTCTACAGGGTTCGTTGCCTTTGCTATTTGGTTCTCCTTGCTTGTACCATATTCTTGTTCTGTCAACTTCCTTAGTGAAACTATGCTTCAATTCTACCAAGGCAACTAATTTCACTCCTGAGAATCACTGCCAGAACTCTGACCGTGCGTCCCACGCTAGTCAAGCTCTCCCGTAGAATAGTATTCTCCGCAACGTCACCTGCCCCTCTCATGGCTCTCATGCCTCTCTGCTTGTGAGTGGCTCCCTCATGCCTCTCCTTTCCCAGCCCCCTTGGGGTGGCATGTGAGCTTGTGGGAGGGCCAAGCAGCCTTCTGGCACGCTCGGCTGCAGTATGCCTCACTGCCACACCGCGCACACAGCTTTAGCTCCACACCATCCCACTCCACACAGTTACACTTGGGTCCCTGACACACCTGCCGGTACCCTGATTTCAGTCGCTCTGCTCGGGTATCTACACCAGATGCATTTGTCCAGAAAGTGCCTACAGGGGTTCCTGGTTCTTTGCTGCCTGTTCCTCCGCCCCCTACTCCTGCTCGGTTCTGAGTGACGTTGTTCCCTGGTGCTGACCCACCTTTCCACGGCTCCCCCAGCAGCATCGCTCGCAGGCAAGCCACCAGGTTCACTCCTCCCACCCACTTCTGCGTATAAACCGGCCCCTCCTCCTGTTCCCCCTCCTCTTCCTGCTCACCACTCTCACGTTTTGTCATTTTCCTGCCGCCCAAGCACGTGTCCCGCAGCTCGCCCATCCAGTTGCGCCTGTCTCCGGGCCAAGCAGCCTTGGCAGCGTGCCGCCACATGCGAACCTCCTCCCACATCTCACTGTCCAACTGCTTCCACTTGCCCACCCCTCCCTTGCCCTGCTCGGCGCCCTCCTGCGCTGCAAGCCGAGCAAACCGCCCTGGGTTGGGCTCCTCCTCCTTGGCCCACGTCCACGCTATCATCATACACGCATGCACGAAAAGCGCCATCGCCTTCTCCTCCTCGAGCCCTTCCAAGCGTCCACGCACATGCATCCAGTTCACCCTCTCTGCCACCCCCGACGGCATGAACATGCCCAGAAGCGTGTACGCCTCCCTGGTTTGGTCGGGGGGGAAGAGGAAGAGGAAGCGGTGGATGAGGGTGGAAAGGGGGCGGTAGGCGAAGGAGGCGAGCAGCGCGACGTGGTTGATGGCAGCGGCGTGCCTCAGGTGGCACTTCCAGCACCGCGTGCATCTCGACGGCTCCCTCTCTGCTGCGACGACCTCAACCAGAAACTCCACGTCTGCCAGCGTGCGAACGACTGGACGGCTCTTTGAAGATGATGCTGCTGGTAATGCTGCTGCTGCTGCTGCTGCTGCTGCTCTGGCATTCTCTGGGATTTCCCAGTCCACAGTGACCCCATACACCTCTTCAAGGATTCTCTCATATAGAATCCTCCCTTGCACGTCATCAGCAAGCTTCACAGCAGCTTCATCGCCAGCAGGCAACTCTTCCCACTCCCAAGAGAAGCCCCGCCGAACCAAGGGCTCCGGCATGGTGCCGGACTTAATCAGCAAGGTTGGGAGATTCCGGAATGGGTGGCAGAGGGATGGAAGATTCTTTTTTGGCTTGCCGCCGCTTCGGAGTGCACATCCATTGGGAGCTTGCAGGTTTGGGCCGTAGGTTCGGACCCACATAAGAATGCAACTAACCCTCCATGTCAGTACGGTCACGGCCGTGTTGCTGGTTGTGGATACCGCCTCCCAGCCATCCTTCACTATACCTCTCGCACCAATCTCAGCTCCCCTACTCGTTGCATCGCCACCTTTCTTCTCTCTTTCTGCACCCATGCCTACTTTCTTCCTTGCAGCCTCAGTCGCAGCATTCTCCAGCTTCACTCTGTACTCGTTATTAGCATCTGTGAAGAACATTCGGCAAGCCGCTTCGGAGAATGTGGGCTTGGAGAGAACTGTAGCAACGGCAAGGGCGAAGTCAGTGGCATCAGTACCGCTCAGAATCATGCCCTTGGGAATACTGCTTTTGTTGAAAGCCTTGGAGATGCGCGAGCTTAGAGAAGACAAGCTGCTGGCAACATCTTTGGGAACCCTTGTCCCATCCAGTCCTTCATGCGCAAGAAGACAAGCCATGCCGCCCACATACCTGTCCCACACAGGGCCCTCCAGCCCCTGCCTCCACTCCGCACTGCTGCCCGCACCACCATCACCTCTCTCCCCCCGTCTTCCACCCTTTCTCCCAGCCTCTCGCTTCTCCACATTCCTATCTTTACTCCCGTCACCTTCTTTTCCGCCCTTTCCCCTATCCTCCCCTCCTACACCCTCGCTCCCTCTGTGTGCCTCTGCGCCACCAGGTAGCAGCGGCAGCACATGGGCTTCGAACCCATCTTTCATCTCCTCTCCATTCTTCACACCCAGAACCTGCACCAGCGCCGACGCCAGACTATCATTCTCCTTCTGCCTGCCCACCCCTAGCTCCTCCACAATCGCAGAGAAGACGCTTGTAAGGGAGACAAGTTGAGCCCTCCATAAAGTCACAAGGCGAGGAGAATTCGCTACAAGCACAAGGAAGGCGCAGAGGGACACAGAGCGGCGGTAGGAGGCCCAGCAGCTGCTTCACCGCCAGCAGCTGGACCAGGGGATTGCGGTAGCGAGGGTGCACGAGGGGAGAGCAGCCTTTGAGGAGCGAGATGAGGAGGAGGAGGAGGAGGAGGAGGGTGGGGCACCATGTAAATTATGAACAGCAGCAGCATCTGTAGCAGCAGCAGCAACGGTTGCAAGCAAGCGGGATTTGATTTTTCCCAGGTGAATCAGCACGCCCACACGAGGCTCGGCCATCCACTCGAGCAGCATGGCCTCGGCACACAGGTGAGCAGCGCGCTCACACTTGTACTCCACACCGCCTCCTGCTGCTCCCGTCTCGCCTGCTCCCTTCCCCTTCTCTGCCCGTACTTTTACTCCCTCTCTTGCTGCGTTAGCTCCCATATCACCTCCCAGGGACCTACCTACTCCCTGCCTGTGCGGTGCTGCGAGGGGAAGGGACAAGGGGAGCTGCTGAAGCAAGTGGCGCCGGACGACCTTGAGGCTCGAAATGCCGAGAGCTCGTTTGCCCTGGGCGCCAAGCGCGCGGTGGAAGCAGCAGATGCAGGGCGACGCGATCAGCTTACCCTCGCTATCCACTTCTCTCTCATTTCTCCCCCCGGAAGCCTCCTCTTCCTCACTGCTACTCTCTCTCACCTCCTCATCACTGTCACTCTCATTCTCCACCTCGTCGCTCTCACTCTCACTCTCCTCCTCATCGCTCACGATCTCCCTCTCCTCCGCGTCACGCGCGCTCTCGCGTTCGTCCTCATCACTGCTATCGCCCACGTGGTCCCACTTGGAGTAGTTGATGCGGGAACTCGCAGCAGCAGACGGTGCACTCGCACCACCACTCATGGCTATTGACACAGTCGCAGTAGTAGAAGCGGGCCGTGCTATAACGAGGCGTTACGGAAACGAGCACTGAATCTACTAGGAGTGCACATGTGCTGCCGCTGCTGGCGGTGATTTTTGAGACTTCTAAAAAATCACGAGCGCTGGTCGCGATATCAGTTTTGCCGCGATTGCTGATGGCGGCAGCAGCGGACGCTGCTGACTTCGTGGCACGCTGCAGTTATCAGTTTCTCCGCGATTGCCGATTGAATACACTGACGAAACAAGCACACACAATTCCTCACCCGCCCTGCATTGATGCTCTGGATGGGAAGGACTACGTGGATATGATGTCGAATTGCAACACACTAGACCTAAATTGGTTGCCGCGCCTGCGTAGGTCCGACATGTGTCTGACAGTTTGTACAGATAAGGTATTTCGAAACCCTAAAATTAGTAACTGAATACTCGTTATGCCGTGTGCGATGCAATACTCGGCAGCGCGCAAATGTGCTGCGAACAAGCAATACTAGAATCCGCTAAAGAGAAATCGCGAAGCTACAAAACATTGCACCTATACAATTGGTACTTTTGAAACCTCTCACATAATATGTTTTCATTTTCATTGGCTATGTTCACAAGTGCAGAAGCAGTGTGTGAGATCAAGTGACATGTGACTTCGTAGCTCGCCGCCAAAGATACTGCCTCACGCGCTTCGGAAGTCCCAATGTCCACTGAAACCTTGCCTGATGGAGCTTTACCCAAGCTTTTCGGATTCCTCGCTTCAAGATTAATAAACGACTTAACAAATGGTGTTCATACAGCGAACATGTTTCAAATTTATCAATCTTCAGTGGATCCCAAGGCTTTTAACTTCCAAGGTTACGCACTCAGTGTACAACAATGGACTTCTCAAGGAAATGCGCTACGAGAGTTCCGCTGCCTACGTCGCCTACTGATTGACAAAGGAGACATTATCAAGGAATCTCTTACAATAGGTCTATCATCATATAAGATGCCACTCAAGGGAACGCCTTTCATTATCAAGCAGCCTGACCATCATCATAAATCTCTACTGCTCTCCACCATGCCGCGAAAAGGACCGACTCAGAATGTTAACACCAATCTTGGTGCTAAGGGACAGACCTTCAGTGCTCCAGTTTCACCAACGAAGATTGACGGCGTGTCGAGTGACAAGGGTGCTGCTGGAGAACCGTTGTCACCTTCAGTCCATGTGGATCATCCGGAATCATCATCAATGGCTGCTGACAGGCTCTCTGCATTGAAAGGCAAGGGTCCAAAAGGAGATTTGGTCAGCGATCATGGGAAACCTCTGGAGTCGGAGTTGCCTGAACCATTGTCGCCTATTGCCGAGCCGGATATGGACTTCCTTGACGAAGAAGAAGAAGAGGGTGCTGACGGCTCTGGTTACCTCAGCGATGACTCCGACGAAGGAGCCGATCCTATTATGGCTGGTCTTGTTGCTGCTCACATTTGCTATACGCTAACGCTCTTGATCCCAGATAAGCATATCGACGAAGTCCCACGAACCATGGACTCGGTCAACGCTCATCTGTCTCACTGGAAGAAGGAACTTTTGGCAGACGTGTTGACAACAACGAAATTTCAAAAGCTTCTCCCTACTTACCTGTCAAAGGAGCGGTTTGGTCGCATTCAAGTTACCTTCGTTCACGAGAAAGATGCTGCTTTCGTTTGGAAGCGTGCTGTTGCTCATGACTGTGCTGATGGCACCCCCTTGAAGCTGAGCTGGCAGTTCCCTGAGAATGCAGATTATCTTCGTGCATGTTCCTTCCGTCCGAAGGCTTTCGAGGTGGTGCTGAAGGGTGTTCCGGCTGAGCTGACTCCGGAACGGATTCGGAAGTTCCTGGTGATGGTGTGGTTGGTAAAGAGGGGGAGGCCGCCTTTTAATGAAGGATATGGTTTTCATCGGGGGCAAGATCCGGTTACGGGGATGGATACGGACAAGATTAAGGGTCTTCAGGTGCAGCATGAGAATGACCTTTACCGCTGGCGTCACTTTATTCTGGATCCTGCAATGAACAGGAAGAAGCTGTTGCTGCATTTCCCTTCGCTCAACTGCGACTACTGCAACGGGCATGATATGACGCGCTACCACGACGACTACGTCACTGACCGTCAGGCTAACATTGCTAAATGGAAACTCACGGTTAAACGTATTCATGAAGTCAACGGTATTCCAGATTCTATACCATGCACAGACTGTCTCGCCCTTTTCTCTTTCCATGTTACTGACCTTGCTCTCTCCTCTCCTCCCCGCAGCGGCCTCACTGAAAGTCACAGACTCACTGAAAGAGATCCTGTTGGACCCGGCCATCGTTCTTACCTCGACTGGAGGATCTCGAGAGGACTGGATTTGTGTCATAGAGGCTTGCGGCAAAGCACACGGCAACAGCCTGGAGCTTGCAGCTGCAAATGTCGCATCCGTTCGCCACACTTCCAACCTGACCACGGCAGGTGCAGCCACACGCAACAGCGAAAGAGCGATCAACATCGCAGCCCTCAAAAAGGAGTTCCTCAAGTGACCTGCAAGAGCGTGAGGATGATATCATCAGATTGGGAGTGTAGGCTGGAAGCCAGGCTGGAAGCCTCAAGTATCATGAAATGGCAGTATGCGGAGCTGTGGTTAGCGTCTCAGTAACGATTGCCGTGCTGTGTGGGATAGTACTTATAACACGCTTTCTGGACCGGTGGATGGATGCAAAGATGAGATCGGAAGCTGCTAAGCTGCTCGCAACAACTAGGACTTTCAACCCGTGGATGCGATGGGGTTCTCATCAGTGGATTAATGAATAAACACCATGAACTCAGTATCACCGCGCTCAATGTGAATGGACTGGGGAGCGCGGAGAAAAGGGAGAACCTGCATGACTGGCTCAAAAAGTCTAAGGGATTGATTGTACTTACTGACACCAGATTACAAGCGGATCATAATTTCTGGACCCAGATTGATGCTGACGCAACGGCGATGGTAGACCCGGGAGATTCAGCAGGGGGGGTGGCAGTGCTGGCTTTAAAAAGGAGTTAGTCTTCAGTGATGTACAGCGTCATGGGTCGGGACGGCTGGTAGCAGTGTTAATGAAGTGGAGGGAGCTGACATGGTTGTTGGTAGCGGCATACTTTCCTGCACAGGCAATAACCAGAGGGAGTTTTTTTCGGGATTGTTTGATCCCCTTTGTAGACTCGCTAACGCAAGGAGGCTATGTGCTCCTTACATGCGATCTTAACATTGCAGCAGACCCAATCATGGACAAAACGTCGCAACTAGGAACGGATGCGGAGAATTTGAGATTTTTACACATATGCTCAAAATGGGACCTGCGTGATACTTTTCGGACGCTATACCCGTCACGGCTGGAATATACCTTCTTAGCAAAATTGACAATGACAAGCTCACGCATTGACCGTGCTTTGGCATTGGCCTCTTAACTTCCGCTTGTAGCAGACGCTTATCACACGGCGTCTTCGCCAGATGTCATATACCACTGGTTCGGCATCACCACAGTGCTAACGGCGCAGACTGGAGAGATGCAGGGCCCGGGGCTATGGAGGAT